GCTTGGTGCGCGACGTATTGCCAATGGGCTCACAGTACCTGTCCTGGTGTTGCAGATTGGCTCACTCACCCGTCACTTCGCAATGGGCTGAAGTATCTGTCCTCCGAATGTCCAATGGGCGATAGTATATTAAATTTGGATGTTTGTGAGTAGGGTAAAGATTGTAGAAAGTAGAAGTCACGATTAAAATTCACGCATAATAATGTGCCTCGACGGGGAATCGAACCCCGGTCCACGAATTTCCGGTCCGCTGCTCTACCACTGAGCTACCGAGGGCTGACGATTAGGCGCGCAAATTTTAGAGCAGCGGACCGGAAATTGGTGGCGGGAGAGCCTATGGTGCGCTAAGGCTGGTGGTGGCTAGATCCTGACAGATGGTCTACCCACTGCTGCTACTGTTGCGCCATAGTCTCATGTCCTGGGCGCCTCCACGTGGCGACCGCTGGGTGGGAGTTGGGTTTCGCCCTTCTCCCTGCTAAGATCCAGGACACCAATCCGCATGAGTCGGCTAATTGACCATGTGCTAGACTCGCTGCCTTTCGGGTGTTCATTTAATCGAAGGCCTTGGCTGAGGACCCGAGTCGTTCTCCTGTCAGGATTGGGCGCCCTGGCAGTACCCTAGTCCATCCTCTCCGGAGGTTAGCAAGTGGTCGATGGCCCACTTCCTGTAAAACCTAACCATGGGAGACAACAGGTTTACGGGTTATAATCTCACAGCTCGATTGGCGTAGAGCACGAGTGCCACGCATTGTCTCTGACGGTGGGAGGACACCTCCGGGTGTTCAATAGTTTGCTACTGCCCGCCTCAAGCCAGGCAGCCCCTGGTCAAATTGGTGCAAACCCGCCAAAAACCCACCTGCGTCTGGCCGTGGTCGCAGGTGCGCATCCAATTACGGTCGCAAAACATATGATAATTGTTCCATAACCTCAAAGGCTGCGTGTGACGGCCGTCAAGCAGATCCCATTCTGTCTCTGCAATCACATTCCCGAGCTGGATCTGCTCTCCACTGCCTTGTGGGTCAGGCTATTGAGCCAAAGGCTCCGGGCGGAGTCCCTCAAGCAAACCTCCAAACCACCCACTGCCTTGTGGGTCAGGCTATTGAGCCAAAGGCTCCGGGTGGAGTCCCTCAAGCAGACCACGGAAGCGAAACCGCCGCCTCGCTTGCGATTGCCCACCAATGCAATCGCATGCCTGCGCGCAAAGCACTCAGCATCGGGTGCTGGAACGTGCGCACACTACTGGACCGGAACTCGAGCGAGCGCCCGGAGCGACGCACTGCACTGGTCGCGATGGAGCTGGCGCGCTACCATATCGATATTGCGGCGCTCAGTGAAACTCGGCTCGCTGAGCAAGGTAAGTTACATGAAGCAGGTGCTGGCTACACATTCTACTGGGTGGGGAACGCCGCCCCAGCACCACGTGAACATGGGGTCAGAGTTGCAACATCCGATCGCCTGAATGGCCAGCTGGTGGGTGAACCAACGGGCATCAGCGCGCGACTGATGACTGCTCGCCTACGACTCGGAAGAGGTAAGTTTGCTACTTTTATAAGCACGTACGGTCCGACTATGAGTTATCCTGATGACACGCGTGATCAGTTCTACACTGAGCTATCCTCCGTGATACGGTCTGTGCCGAGGAGCGACCGACTATTTCTGCTGGGTGATTTCAACGCGCGCACCGGGTGGGATGCATCGGTGTGGACAGATGGTATCGGTTCGCATGGCATTGGTTCAGCGAATGCGAACGGTGACAGGCTGCTCTCACTGTGTGCCACTCACGGCCTGACGATCACGAACACTCGGTTTGCACTGAGTGCGAGTGATATAGCAACTTGGACGCACCCACGGAGTGGTCACGCTCACCTGCTCGACTATGTCTTCGTACGTCAGCGTGATATGCGTGAAGTGCGCATGACACGTGTACTGCGTGGAGCTGAGTGTGGCACTGATCACAACTTGGTTCGGACCAAACTGTACATATATTTTCGTAAATCTATGTATTGCACTCCCGCCGTGAATCGGCGTAAAGTTAACATTCTCTCCCTCGGTACTGTGGCGAAACGTACTGAGCTGGAGAAGGCGGTGACTGCACGCCTGTGTGGTGATGTGGACTGTATAGCCACAGTGGGCGACCTGTGGCACCACATTCGCGATCAGATGATAGCTGCTGCCGAGGAGACCATTGGGCGCGCAAACTGTAAACGGCCTGATTGGTTTGATGACAACAATGCGACGATTGGCGCATTGGTGTCGGAGAATAATGCAGCATTTGCTGCACATGTGGCAGACCCCAGTGACTTGGGGAAGAGTAGTCAGTTTCACAAACTTCGACGACGACTGACCCGAGAGCTCCGTCGCATTAAAAATGCATGGTGGACGGAGAAGGCGAAGCAGATGGAATGCTACGCCGGACGCCGCCAACACAAGGAATTCTTTGACTCCTTGAAGGCGGTGTATGGACTGAGGTTGGAGCCGCTGAGGACACTGATCGATGGTAGTTCAGGCGCTACCTGCACCCAGACTGCAGACATAATGCAGGTCTGGCGGAAACACTTTGACTGTCTCTTGAACAACCGTTCAGAGATCGACTGGCCTACATTGGGCGGCCTGAAGCAGCACGATGTGAAGGCGGATCTGGCGGATACGCCGACACTGGATGAGACGCAGAGAGCACTTGCTCAGCTGCGAAACGTCAAGTGTGCCGGAGCCGACGGGATCCCGCCTGAAGTATTGAAACACGGTGGCCCCGCGTTGTTGACTGCGCTGCACCACTTGGTGCAACGCGTGTGGATTGAGGAGGAGGTGTCTCCTGAGCTGAAGGATGCCCTTGTGCTACCACTGTACAAGGGCAAAGGGAGCAAGCAATGTTGCACGAATTATCGTGGCATCAACTTGCTGAGTTGTGTAAGCAAGGTGATTGCCCGAATCCTGCTCAACCGCCTCGTCATTCAGATTGTGGAACCTAACATGGCGGAAGAGCAGTGTGGATTCCGTTCGGGTCGCAGCACTATAGATATGGTGTTTGCGGCTCGTCAGTTGCAAGAGAAGTGCAGAGAACGACACCAGCCATGGTACTCGCTTTTTGTTGATTTCACCAAGGCATTTGATACGGTGAACCGCGAGGCATCGTGGCTGGTGTTGGGTAAGTTTGGTTGCCCGCGTAAGTTTGTAAGTTTAATTGGATGTCTGCACAGTGGTATGCGAGCGAAGGTGCAGCTGAGTGGAGAGACCTCTGATGACTTTACAGTTGTCTCTGGTGTGAAGCAAGGCTGTGTGTTAGCTCCTGCCCTGTTTAATATATATCTTCATGCAATGTTGTCTTGTGCTTTTGATGCGGCTTGTGCTTACGGTGTTCGTGTGGAACCCCGTATTGATGGTGGGTTGCTGAACATTTGTCGTTTCGGTGCGAGAACTCTAGTCTGTGAGACAACTATCCGTATGTTGCTGTTTGCCGACGACTGTGCGTTGTTTGCACACAGCGCGGATGAGTTGCAGCACATGACTAGTGCTCTGGCTTCGACAGCGGCAAAATTCGGGCTCACCATCAACACAAGCAAAACTGTCTGTCTCTTTCAGCCTTCACCGGAGGTGCAATCTTCAATATTGCCGCGAATCAGCATTGGTGCTGAAGTATTGGGAACCACCTCCCGCTTTTGCTACCTTGGGAGTGTGATATCGACTGATCAGCAGCTACACGTTGAGTTGCGTATTCGCGTGTCGAAGGCAGCAGCGGCATTCGGGAAGCTTGAGTACCGAGTGTGGAACAACCATCAGCTTACCCTTGGCACGAAGCTGATGGTGTACAAATCCATGGTACTGTCCGTTCTTCTATACGGCAGTGAAACGTGGACGATGTACCGTCGGGATGTGCGATATCTCGAGCGGTTCCATCAGCAGTGTCTGCGACGAATTTTGCGGATCGGTTGGGGCGCCAGAGTCGCAGACACGGAAGTGTTGCGCCGAAGTGGGATGTATGCAGTGGACGGCATACTTTTACTGCGACACCTGAGATGGCTCGGTCATGTGAGCCGTATGGATTCGGCGCGGATACCGAAACAACTTTTATACGGTCAGCTGAGTATTGGGAAGCGGCATGCTGGGAAACCAAAGTTACGTTACCAGGACATGATTAAACTGAGCCTCACACGTTCTAATCTTGATTGCAGATCATGGGAATCGAAGGCGGTTGATCGTGGTGCATGGCGCGATCTAATCACGAAGGCAGTTGCTGAAGTGCGAGAGAAAGCCCTCATGCATGCAGAGAAGAAGCGGCAGTTGCGGAAGCGGCAAGCACCGATGAATTGTACTCCATCGACATCGAGCGCATGGTGCTGTAGAACATGCGGTCGCGAGTGCCTTAGTCAGGCAGGCCTAGTGAGCCATGAGAGAGGTCACTCGGGACCACTGCCGAAGCGACGACGGGTCCCGCAGTGAACGTAGGCAGCACCGGCGCAGCGTTTGTAGGCACGCTGAATTCGATTTACTAACCGCATGCTTGCATGCTAAGTCTCTTTATTTCAGGTGGTGGGTTTTCGGTTCTCTCCTAATGCCTTTCTTTCTCATATAAATGTCTAGTGGGCCATGAGCTATGCCATTAGGTGCCACTACAGAAGCGACGACGGGTCCTACAGAGAATTACGGCGAGCCGGCGCAGCGTTTGTAGGCACGCTGAATTCGATTTACTAACCGCGTGCTTGCATGCTAAGTCTCTTTATTTCAGGTGGTGGGTTTACAGTTTTTACCTTAATGCTTTTCTTTCTCATATAAATATCTCCCTGTACTCTATTTCATTAACTTGCACACATCGCCTAAGCCAATTGTATTCGATTTCCATAACATTTTTGCGTTCGTGGCATTCCGTGAACTATACTTCCTGACCTCGTGCACTTAGCTAGGATTTGTTTGTAATCAACTTATTACATATGCTATTTAATTAAGGTTTATATCACCGTTTCCTTATGCATTAATCGAGTTTTTCTCTTTTTCTTTCTCTCTTTCAAGTGTTTGGCTGTTGTTTGATATCCCCGGTGTGGATGCGCTTGATGTGCATGTTGACAAAGTGCCTACCTGTCTATTACCCTCTACCTCGTCCATACGGGCTCCAGGAGACAGTTGGTCGTTGCTGGAGGGGACGGGGTGCACGGTCCTTGTGGCCGTGTTAGGATCAAAGAGTGGTTCCATGCAGTCAGTGTGGAGCGGACTACGGTCCAGCCACCGCCTTGTGTGCGCTTGATTCCCAAATACAGTGCGCTTGTGTTTGCTTGTGAAGGAGTGTAGGCCGGCTCCGTTGATGAAACGTGGTTCCCATCCACATGCCTCCCGGGCTTATTCCTTCGGGTTTACACTGGATATGGGGTGTGTGGTTGGAGCTGTGGGTGGTGCAGCGCAAGCCATCCATGGTCCCTCTGTAGGCGCAGGCGTCCTGTGGCTTGCCACAGTGACAGGCAAATCCGAAACCGGATGCCGCCAAGCACATATATGACTTTACTCATTACAATACAATTGGCTGAGTGCCACAACACATAAAAGGAAAAATAGATTAAAAGGGAAAACAACTGTTGGGGTGGAAGTGTCTCACAGCAAGTGCGCCATTGCGTACGTTCCTTGACCATATCCACTAGCGTTTGCAACCAGATGTGCACGGGGTCCTTTGGTTCCCAACCCTGGAGTCAGGAACGCCTAACAATAGCCAGCTTCAACCTTTGCGCCTTTAATGTTTTGGATCCAAGTTTTACACTGCCCTCCTTTTCGTCGCTTCCACCCCACGCCTTTGCTCGCAAATACGGCTCGTCCTGGTAGCCGATGGGTAGGCATGCTGGAGCACATGCAGAAGCCAGCGTAGTGACTGCAATGAAATGATGCTAGCAATCGGTCGGTGATCGTTAGATCTGAAGACTCGCCGACGAACTTCCTCATTACTGATGTAATGCCGTCATCGAATATAAGCAATGCTATGCACGCGGCGGTGATCGAAGACAGATAGCCGCTAAGCATCGCTTTTGCGAACGGGCTAAGTCGCACAGCCATACAGCAGAATCTCTAGTACCGTAGCATTGTAGATTCGTCCCTTGAGAGGGAGGCTGAGGTCAAGACGAATCCAAAGGTGACGAAGGTTAGCGAAAGCGACTCTAGCCTTGGAGGCACGCAGGGAGATCACATCTGTTAAATCGGCAACACTAAGACAACTTCCAAGATAAATTAATTTGTCGACCACTTCCAGCGCATGCCCCGAAAGGGTAAGAGAAGGACATGCACTTGGCCAGTCCTGTAATAGGACGTTACACTTGGAAGGAGCAAAGGTCAAGCCAAATTGGGAGGCGGACATCTCCAGTCTGATCAGTACATGCTGGTGGGCTTGGGAGAACTCGCAAATCACAGCGATGTCATCGGCGTACTCTAAGTCCCGAAGGGTCTGGATCTAGAACAGGTACATGAATAGAGGCACAGCCCCCCCCCCCAATGGCCGCCTACTGTTGCTGACACGTATGCACTTGGGAGAAGCACGCGAGATACCTGCGGCGAGTCGAGGTGAGACCTGAGTGTGGTGAACTCGGAATGAGCAAACTATTGAGGATGAAACAATGTGCACTGATTTTTAAGTCGGCAAGCTCAAGAGAATCGTAATATAGGGTTGTTGTGCATTCGGTGAAAGGAAGAGAAGATGAATTGGTTACTCAAGACGTAAAAAGATAACAAACGGAAAATTGAACCACGTCAGGTAAGTTTATCTGTCGTGAATATGAACGAACTGCTGCCAGTAGACGTTGCTCCTGGATGGACTCCACGCAGACACACGATTTAGCGGGATCAAGGATGGGGTAGCGACAGCAAGTGCGGTGTCTCAGAACACAATAAAAACAGGAGGCGGCCCCAAAACAAAACAAAGCATAAAGTCCAGTGTAGCCGGAGAGATAGACGGAAACTTACCGAGTAGATAATAGTTGGAGTCCCGTTCGTACTTGAACGTCAGACGGCCGTAGCTGACGTGGTTGAGATTTTTGAGCCATTCAAAGTATGACACAGTCACACCACCAGCGTTCAGATAGAGGTCAGGGAGGACTAGTTTGCCCTTTTGGCGCAAAATCTGGAAACAAAGAGAGGCGCATTAAACATGACGGAAACCACAAGACACTCGGGTAGAAGAGAACAGCCTAGAGAAACATAAAATGCGAATTCTTGCGTGAAAATACCATAGAGCCAAAGTTAAGCTTAACAGCAGAGTCAATATCAGTTTTGTTTAAGGCGCAAGGCACATTCCCTGTGAGCATCATAATAATGGAGTAAGCTCACATTGTCCGCAGCAGGAGTGGTAGGTCCATTAGCGCCCTCTCCAATCACTTTAGCCTTGATTTTATCAGCGTTGTCGCCGTGAATTTGCTTCTCATTGGCGCAGGGAAGTAGGATATCACATTCTTCGTGAAGTAACGAATCCTTCGTGTATGCCTCTGCTTTGGGGAACCCGCAAATGGTTCCATGTTCCTAAAATTGTACGAAAAAACATAAAGAGCGTATGTACACGGCGCCGATGGGCAAGTCAGGACAACTTTCACTGCGTCGGCTGTCACTCACCAATTTCCAATCCTCCAGTTCGCGCGGGTCGATACCATTCCGATTGTAAATCTGTCCATCGATCTCGGCCACACCGATGCATTTGGCGCCGGCACGGGCCATGTATCGCATGGAGTGCAATCCAACGTTGCCGAACCCCTGGAGGATAAACGTTTTATCCTTCAGGCCGGGAGTGAGACCAGCCATAGTGGCATACTTCGGATTGCTCAGGAAGTTCTCGATTCCATGATACACACCCTAGGTCAAGATACCAGAGAAAAGTTGCGCACGAATGGGGAAGAAGAAACTAAACGATCGGGATGCGCTACGAGAAAAATAGCTGCAAGATCGGAAGGAGTGGGCAGACCAGCAAATAACTCATACAGAATTCAGCAGGAATAATTCTAATGCGCCCATTAATCTGTTGACTGGAAACAAGAGATTGACCAAGTGGAACTCTCTGGGTTCGTGTGAAATCAATGCACCTTTGTTCTCCCTGGATGCACCGGTTAGGAGATGCACTATGTCTCTCAAACTGAACGTCATTCTGGCCCTATGCTGCGTCTGTTCTTGTTAACTACTTGGCATGAATCCCGTTTAATCTACCTTTCAAAAGAAACTCCGTGAAACAAGCCGACAACTCGCAAAGCAATAAAAACAGCAGTCTCTCGGCCTCTCTGCTCTCTAGGACTCTTGGGTCGCAGCGAAACTTTACATGAGAGTTTACATGCCCATTAATAACTTAAAGACCAACGTGTTTTTCCTAACTTATAAATAAAGTTATATCCTCGGTGTTGCACGAGGCACGCCCACAAACCGGCATGATGACTTATGCACTATCGCGGAATACGATATCAGTTTAATGCTTTCGTTGTTACTTTAGTTTCTTATTTTAACTTTTCATTTGTGTTCCCTTCTTTATCACAACTGGGCAGATCTCCTAAGGTGATGACTTGACGCATGTAAACAGAATGTTTTCCCCCGCAAAGCGAATAACCAAGACTCGCTGGAGAATATGTAGTGTGAGTGAAAGTCATAAAAGAGCAAAAACAACAGTACACACGGTACTGTTGAATTCAAATGTAGTGGCATATACCACCAACGCAGGTGAATTCGGCTATCATGTCCACCAGAAAACATTACCATTATACACCTTAGCTAGAGGTGGAAAACACCTCAGCTACTGTGCCGCAACACAACAGGTGCACGCCAGCTGAACTACCAGTAACGGATGGACATCGTTCCGGGAAGCCACCAGAGAGTTACTATGCAGCAAAAATTTATTAGTCGAAACTTGTGTTATACTAAGAAACGAGGGAGGGACAAAGAATCTCACAACCCGAACGCCGCTGAGGTCGGCTCCTAGCGAGCCATATCAGTAAATGTATCCAGACAAACGTGTTCATCGTCAATCGCATCCCAACCACGGAGCCGAGGCCCCAACAGAGGCCAAGATCGAAGGAAGGGCTTCCATTGCTCTCGATCAAGTCAACGCTTGGTTACCTCTCCTCTTCTTCCATGCACAGCCCTGGCGCGCAAACAACGCACGTCGCGGGAGTCGGGGACTGGCATGCGCAACACGTGGTCGAACCACTGGAGCCCGGTATGCGATAAAACAGTGCCGAGCGTTTCACTTCCTCTTCTTGTGCTATAGACAAGGCGTCGAACACGCGCGTTGCTCACGCGATACTCTCTCCAGAAGTGAGCCAAACTGCGAAGACGCCGGTGGTCGAAAGTAACTAGCCTCTTTATGTCGGCTGATCCAACGGGCCAAATTTAACAGTGGCTGTGGCTCGGGTAGCCAGTTTGTGAAAAATAATAAAGAAAAAGTAGCGTGATTGAATAGCGAAGTCAGTGATGGCTAGCCTGCTTTAACGTTACACCAGCACGCGAACAGGGGGTGTAGAGATGCCGGTGTAATCTCTCGAGGGACTACGCTGCATGGAAGCGGGTCCCAAGAAAACTGTTCCACGGATGATGGTATTAGTTTGCTTGCTACTTCTTACTATAACTTCCGCTCTGTCTTGAATCTGTTGTGGTTCTTTTTCATTGTCATCTCGTTGTTACGCTTCTATCGTCTTACCAATAGTACGCATTTCTTTAGTCCTTAGACCATGTTCTTGAATTTATTCAATGTGTCCATCTATTTTATCTCCATATCCAAAATCGGTTTGTTGTCATTATATAGTACTAATCACTTTGCGGTCAATATTTTGTACAAGACTGTGGTTCGTGGATCATGCCTTAATGGGTGTATCACGCACTGCCAAGGGTCAACATTTATTTCTTCAATTATAGTTGGCGGCATCCGGTTTCGGATTTGCCTGTCACTGTGGCCAGTCACAGGACGCCTGCGCCTACAGAGGGATCATGGGTGGCTTGCGCTGCACAACCCACAGCTCCAACCACATACCCCATTTCCAGTGTAAACCCGAAGGAATAACACCGGGAGGCATGTGGATGGGAGCCACGTTCCATCAACGGAGCCGGCCTACACTCCTTCACAAGCACGCTGTATTTGGGGATCAAGCGCACACAACACGATGGCTGGACCGTAGTCCGCTCCACAATGAGTGCATGGAACCACCCTTCGAGCCTAGCACGACCACAAGACCGTGCACCCCGTCCCCTCCAGCAACGACCAACTATCTCCTAGAGACAGTATGGACGAGGTAGTGGGTAAAAGATAGGTAGGCACCTTGTCAATATGCACATCAAGCGCAGTCACACCGGGGACATCAAGCAACAGCTAATCACTTGAAACGATAAGATGAAATAAAAAGAATCCAATAATGCATACAGATACGGTGGCATAACTCCGCTAAATTAACATATGAAGTAAGTGGGTTAGTAATGAATCGCGATAAGTAAGATATGTTATAGGAAGAAATTCGTCACATCTTTTGTAATAAGTAAGATATGTCCACAAGTTGTTGAAAAATTGATGCAAACGTAACCAAGTTACCAAAGATAAGCGCAATTAGCGTAAGCAACATGGCCAGTTAATAGAAGATTAGTCAGGTAGGCAGAACAAAGCAAATAATGTGGAATGGAATTTGTCCAGCTTAAAAAGACCTAGTTTAATTGTAAGTTGGTTTAGCCCAACTGCGGTGAAGAAGCATCAAGAATGTAACATCAGCCTCAGCATGTGGCACTTCTTCACTTGTAGTATACTGAAAGTAGACAGCCAGAAGACATACATGTTAGTCCATTAATACGGAATCGGGCACGCATTCACTGTCAGCATAGCTTAGTTGTGCGATCTCCCATTTAAGTACCATGGGCTCACAAAATCCGTAATCGGCAGTGGCCGTCTGTGAATTTCTTGAATGCAGTCACTTGACCACATGACCCGTAAGGTGAACCAGTTAAAATTTTTGTTCAACCAATAGTTACTCTCTGTTTCCCGAATGAACACCCCTACTCAACGTATATTACTGTACCAAGCCTAATGATGAATAAATCGGAAACCATTGTTCGCTTTAAGCGTACCGCTTGCGTTTCTTCTTGCAATATATACTTAAAATGGGCATACTACACGAAATTTCTTGAATTCCAACACCGAATGCGCCTCCATTATTTTCCCGGGCAAACCGCCCAATTAGATAAATACAATTTATCACGCGATTCAACGCTGACAGACGTCGTGTCTCCAGTGTCAGTAAACCTATCGCTGGCGCTAATGTTCGCGACAGCCTCACGCTTTACTCTGACTGTAATTAACCTTGCCGCTATGGTATTGGTTCGGTTTCAAGATGAGGAACTTCAGCGCACTCGGCAGTCCACTTCACTGCATATGCAACCCGATGCTTTCCAAACCACGGAAGAAGTATTATTTTGTGACACTTCCATAAGCGCCCGCTTCTTTCAGACAGATAGCCTACATGCACTCTCATCTAGGTGTTCGTGTATCTTTGAAACTTGGCACCGCACGTTTCGTTGGGCCAAGCGCAAAAGCGTTTGTAAGTGCGCTTGTGCTTGCCATCACTGACAGTGCCCCAATGTATATCGTCACAACTGCAACACTCTGCGTATATTCTCTACCCTTGATTCACAGTTCGCACACGTAAACATAGACGTCGTGGGACCGTGGCCTACTTCTTGTGGATTCGTAAGATCAACTTCATCAACAACAGCATTGTAACAGCAAAATGGACTGATGCTTCGTCGCCACACAGTTATTTTGACATAAGGAATGAAGCATAAGAGGGAGAGAAGGGGGACCTGCTGTAAAACTGTAATGTCCCGAGCAAGCATTCATCTTACCAAAACAAACCATCACAAACAGCTGGCTATCATGCAAGGAGAAAGCGCCATCAAGCAGACAGCTTCCGTGTGGCTTTAACTGCCCCAGTCATAACCAGCAGATAACAGCACAAATAACACCTTAAACAGGCAGCCCTATTAGGAGACCGTAGCATAAGTGTTAATGGTGTCGATTTCTAGCCGTGTCCTATAAAATCTTAAGTACAGCACTAGGCGAGTCATGTGGATTCCATCTTGGAAGGCGAGTCGGACCGATGGCATCAAGTCTGGTCATCAGTGACCTCATTTCCCGCTGCCAAGCCAACTTTCGTTCATCTCGAGCCTTGCGCAAACCTACATCGGGCAAATAAAACAAGGTCCTCTTCGATAAGCGGTAACCGGATATATATAGCACCGGCCCAAGTAAACGCAAGTTATTTAGTGTTATCTGTTGTTTTAAGGGACTAGCCTGGTTATCATTACCTAGTACTCGCATACACAGATCATCGTTGCGGACATGATGGCGTCATCTGACGACAGTCCATAGTAATGAGGCTGGACCTTACCGTGGTGCGATTGTTTGTGTGCCTCAATGATCCATTGAGCTATGCTGCATGGTGCGTTTTTGCACCTTCAGCATCACTCATACCAGATTGGTCAATGGTTAGAGGCCAGACAAACTCAGCCTCCAGGCCCTCCAGTTTGGGGTTGGAATGAGGGTGGGTCCTTATACCTTAAAACGGACTCCTTGTAGCCCAGTGCCAAACGCGCTGCCTTGCGGACAGGTTTTTGAACCAAAGGCTTTGGTTGAGAACCCTAATCGTTCTCCTGTCTAGGCCTGGGCAACCTGACAGTATCCTGTCCACGCAATACAATGAATCTCACTTCAAACCAATTTCCGATGCTCTGGCCACCGCAGAGGATAATCAACGGTGCCCTATCTGCTGCATCGGGCAGGGTGGATAGGGGTTTGGATACTACTGCTCAAGCCTTCCCGTCTTCTTATTCTCCCT